AGCATGTTTGGTGTGACGGGGATTCGAACCCGCGACCCTCAGATTGCGAGTCGAGTGCTTTAACCACCTGGCCATAAATTCGATGAAATGGTCTGTTAGCTTATTAATAAACTTATTTACAACCTAAGAGGTTTTCAATTTTATTGGAATGTGAAAATCTTAAGACACCTGCCTTGTTAGATTACAAAAATTAGGAATACATTAAGATTTTAGTTTTGCTTCACTGAGAAAATACAGAAGCAAATTTTAAATGATTAAAGTCATCAGTATATGATAATCCACAATGTGATGTATAATTAATATTAGATGCTATCAATATATATTTACTTGTTTTCAGGTTCACATCTTTTACATATTTAATCGTAGACTAGTTTTATCTCGTTGTTTTTACATTGATTACAAACCACCGTATAAAGATTTCTCATAGATTACAAAATATATAATATGGGCTCGAACATGTTGATCTCGGGTTAGAAAAGATACTTTCTACAAATTGCACGATAAATGAAAAACAAATTGTTCATAAAACTACAAGAGAAATTAAAAACTCGTGAAGAAAACTGTAAGTGAAAACGTAAGAAATCATTCAGAAATCTGTAAATAAAATTACAAAAAATTATTCATATACTTTTACATGAAAACAAAGAAAAGCGTCCTGAAACATGCAAGTTAAAACATGAAAAAATTCAGACATCTGTAGGTTAAAACATAAGAATTGTTAGAAATCTGTATGTGAAAACAAGAAATCATTTCTGAAAGCTGACAGTAAAAACTCAGGGAAAGTTGACAGTGAACACTCAAGGAAATCTGTAAATGGAAACATTAGAAATTAACCAGAAATCTGTAAGTAAAAACATTTCAGAAATCTGTAGGTAAACACACATTAAATCATTAAGAAACTTGTAAGTAACTTGACACCAGAAATCATTGATAAATATGTAAGTGAAAACACAGTAAGTCATTCTGGATACTGTAAAACATAATAAATTGTTTAGAAATGTATATAAATGCTCATTTAATGTATGCTCAGAGTTGTCACAAAACCACCCTAAAACGTGACATAATGAGTTGCATATCTATTTTCTAATGTTTTAAAAAAATATTAGGTCGTCAGGAAATTAATGTCGCGTTTCGGAAAACTTTCATTAACCACCTCCCAAAAAAACGTACATCACGTATAATAGTTAAAAGAACCGCCTAAACGTCACGTTAGTGTAGCCTATATAATGTGTAAAGTTTAGTGTACCCTTAATCCCTTATAGTGATGGTACACATTCGGCATGTAATGCTGTTTGAATACAAGAAGGGAAACAACGCCTCTGTAGCCACAAAGAATATCAAAGAAGTTTATGGAAATATTTTGAATGTTCTTAAGTGTCAACGATGTTTCAGTAAATTTCGTTCAGATGACTTTAGCCTTAAAAACTCAGGGGCGAATATTAAACGCCAAAAACAATGGCTCAGTCCTAGACAAAAACCACTTCCGACCCAAAAACTTGGACTCCATCCGCAGAAAGTGATGCTTTGCATTTGATGGGATATCAAAGGAGTAATTCATTTCGAACTCCTCAATCCACAGCGAACTGTCAATGCAGAGATATATAGTCAGAAACTGGAACGTTTAAATCAACTCCTTCATCAGAAATGTTCTTCACTCGTCAATCGGAAAAGTGTTCTTCTCCACGACAATGCACGTCCACATGTGGCACGTTTGATGCAAAACAAGATTATGGAATTGGGTTGGGAAGTTCTCCCCCGCCCACCATATTCTCCAGATATGGCACCATCAGATTATTATCGTTTTTGTTCGCTGCAACACCATCTTAATGGGAAAACGTGTGCAAATGTGGAAGGTGTTAAAGAGGACATCGACTTTTTTTTTGCTTCAAAGCCAAGTGGAAAAGCATCATCGATAAGAATGGAGACTATTTCATCTAATAAATGTTTTGTTTTGATATATATAAGTTGTTCGGGTTTTTTCATCTAAAAAAAACGACCTAATATATATATGTTTATTTCGAACCTCAACTGTGGACATTGGATATATACATTTAGTAATATGTATAACATTTCCATCTATAGTCTCTACTTATAAATAACATTACTTTGCTTATAAATCAGTAAATTAATGTTTCTGTATAACAGTTTAATTTGTTAACTTATAGTTTGTTTGTAATTAAGCACAAAACTACACAATGGGCTATCTGTGCTCTGCCCACCACGGGAATCGAAACCCGAGTTCTAGCGTTGTAAGTCCGCAGACATACCGCTGTGCCATTGGGGGGCAATTTGTTAAATACGTGTAAATATATTTTCTTTCTTATAAGATCGTAATTCTAACATAATATGTTTGTATTTATTAGACAGCTAACAAGGTTATTTCGTATCAGATTTTAAAACAAAGAAATTATAATTTAGCTTATTTGATTGATCAATATTTCTTACGGTTTTGTAGTCTCCCGGTGGTTCAGTTATATGATTTAGGACTTATAACTATGGAATTTGGTGTATAATCCCCGCAATAATTAAAGCTTATTTTCAGCTTTTCGTTTAAACAAGAACACTCTAACAATTTTGCATAGTACTGGTTTTCAATTATTAGGCACACTTTTGATTAACAATCAAGAAATGGTAATTATTTTTCGGTTGTTAATATCAATACAGTTAATTAAGTCATTATTGAAAATTAGTATGTATCACATCAGGTGTTATATTAAAATGAGTATTGATTCTTTATTTAATAGTAGAAGTGTAGACAACGAAAATAATAACTCCTCGAAATTTCAGCTATATGTATTTGAATCTAGTGAACTTACCGTTGTGTTACTGAATTAAAAAAACAAACAGAGTGTGTAATAGGACTTAACTTCATATGAACAAGTGGGTTATTTCTGTCATAAGGTTTTCACAGATAATGTAATACGATTATACGATTTATTTTCTATAAGTTTTTCCCAAACATTATGAATAAATCTAAAGTTAAAGCTTTGAATGCAAGAATTAAAAACCTGTTTTCTCGCTCTATTCTTAAGTTGTGATATTTTGTTGTAATTAAAATGTTGGAAATGTATTTTTTTTTTTACCGGAGTCATGTCGTAACTTACTTTTATGCTTTTGTTGAGAATATATTGTGTTATTCAGAATATATTACATTCGTACTAGCTAAATTAGTGTACATACTAGATAAATTATTATATATACCAGATCAATTAGTGTACATAGTAGATAATTTATTGTACATACTAAATAAGTTGTTGTATATACTAGATAAGTTATTATATATACTAGATAAGTTATTGTACATACTAGATAAGTTGTTGTATATACTAGATAAGTTATTATATATAACTAGATAAATTAGTGTACACACTAGATAAATTATTGTATATACTAGATAAATTAGTGTACATAGTAGATAAGTTATTGTACACACTAGATAAGTTGTTATATATATATACTAGATAAGTTATTGTATATACTAGATAAATTAGTGTACATAGTAGATAAGTTATTGTACACACTAGATAAGTTGTTATATATATATACTAGATAAGTTATTGTACATACTAGATAAGTTATTGTACATACTAGATAAGTTGTTGTATATACTAGATAAGTTATTATATATACTAGATAAGTTATTGTACATACTAGATAAGTTGTTGTATATACTAGATAAGTTATTATATATACTAGATAAGTTATTGTACATACTAGATAAGTTGTTGTATAT